AAATGATCCGTCCGCTATGCCAATAACAGTGACATCACACAATTCACGAACATCACTACCGGTATTGGGGGACTAAACGATCCGCCAAAGTGCCAAATTGTGACACAGTAATATACGCATACACGTTAGCATCAGCGTGAACACATGCGCATACTAGGACTGGCAACAGCAGCAACCCAATACCCAAATACGCACACAGAAGGGTTACTGCCACCAGTTTACCGCCCCGCATGCATCCAGGACTGCGTGAGCAGCATATGATGACCACAGACTGGACATAAACGGACCGGAATTATTGGATTCCGGGAATGTGGTCCTGGCGACTTCGATTCGTTCAATGCCTCTAATTCTCTTCGGAAAATACCTCCTGAGAAGAGTATATTACATATGTCCGGAGGTGGCAGTTCTTCTGTGGAGAGAAGAAGAAACCTTGTCTCCTTTGTGTAATCCGATTGGAAAAACTGTGAAAAGTACGCAGCTTTATCCCTTCTCTCGGCAGTCTCGGCAAGTTTCGTAATGAGTCTTTGGGCATTTGTGTACGAGCACGTCACTTTTGCGCCTGCCGAATTTCCGGCTGCATTTGTCACTGTCACTGTCCTAACGTTTCAGCCGTTCCGCGGGGGAGTAGTCTGGTTGAAAAAAGCCTGCTTATGTGTGTTTCTGCGTCTGACTTTTCTGGACAGAATCAACTTGTTTTGCTCTTTGTTCTCCAGCATAACTTTGAGAGAACAAGGTGGTAGTGCTTCCGTCCTGCATTCACTCATTTTTCCGATACGGAATGCTTTCAGCACTTTTATTTTTGTGTTTGTCTGAAGTAATTGGTTTAGTAGACCATTAAAAGAAGCAAGATCTTCCGAGACACGGTCTTCAGGTCTGACTGCATTCGAGGCAGACATGCCCTGAACAATGAGACACACTGTTGGCGGTCCGGTACTCTTTATTTTTCTTTCCAGCGAATTCTCTGTACGATTGCGAGGACGATTTACGGAGTCCTTTTGCTGTCGACTGACTTACCTGAACGACCCATTGGGGCTGCCTATGACATCAGACTCCTGTTAGGGTGTTTTCCCACCTCTCCTACCCACGAGTTCCTGTTTTCGCATTCAAATATGTGCTCTAAAATGCACTCGGGTTGGTTGCGAGAACAAGAGAGCGACGGTAGATTGGATGACCTAGTTATATCGTCCATTGGCAAAGGAGAAATCCCGTCACTTTCAGCAAGTGGAATAGGAGAGATGGCTCCGGCGACCGGTAATATTTTTGTGACATCGTTTAAGCCGTTTTGCGTGAAATCAAACCTGCCCTTATCGGCGGCTTCGTTATAGTTATCCTGTTCTTACCGATACCCGCGTCTGTACTTACTGAGTTGTTATCCGTGTTTGGAGATGCTCCCGAGACGATATTTTCTTGCGTTTTTTGCGTTTTGCTCTTGGCTTTTTGGACTCCAACACTGGAACATTCTGGTCATCGAGTTTCCGCTGTATGAGCCTCATGGCTCTCATAACTGTCTGCCACCAACTTGTTTATTTCTGAGTAGGTTTCTCGGAAATCCTCCTGGACCGTTGCTTCCAACTGACATCCCGAGCTATTTCCTTCATAATTACAGCAGAAATTCGCATGCTTTTCCTTACCACAATTTTTTTACTACTCAGTGCACAGCAACTCTGCGATACTCTGCGGCATCGTGGATGGCCGGTCAGCTATATTTCCAGTGGGCTTGATCAAGGAGAACGCTTCAAAGCCTTCCACTGCTTACGATCCTTTCACTGCA